GCAATTCCTCTCCCTGCCACATGCTTCTTGTGTGACCCTAGAAAGTTACCTGTTTTTCAGTGGAGAAGAGGAAAACTGGTATTTTTCCACTTTGCTAGGCAGAGGAACAAGTCAATGCTTAAGACTTTGAATGAGAGATGTGTGCCATAAAATGACTAAGGTACAATAAATAGTTTATCTTCTGTGTCTTTTGCAACAGGATTACCCCAAATAATCAGTGTATTTCACTCAAATTCATATGTGTGAATGGAGTATTGCCACATACGTGCATATGTGTCTTAAATGTTTAAAAAAATGGAATTAAGAATTCAGCCTTTATGATAAATCTATATATTGATAATCCCCTGCTTTCCCCCTTGTTTAGCCTTTAGCTATCCCTTGTTAATAGAGCTGAGCTCAGCTGGGTCAATTTCTTTTCTCTTGAATCCTTTCCATGTTCAGAGGGCTTTCTGTTTGTCTGTCTCCTCTGGTGGCTCCTGTCTTATTCATGTCTGCCTGCTTGGCATGTGCAAAGCCTACAGGCAGAACCTTGTCATGAGCAGCCACCTCAGAGCACCCCCTGCTCCCCAGCACAACTCTGCCTGACATGTGCTTAAACACCAGCTTGCAAGTGGCCACAGTTCTCTTTTCCTTTTTGTTGGCCCTGGGAATGAGCACTTCAAGCAGATTTCTCTTGATTGCTTCCAACTTCCACCATTCCCTGCATTTGGGCCTGAGGAAAGGTATTCAATGTGGCAATCTTCAGGCCTTTAAAATTACCAATTCTTAAAGTTGTTTTTATATTATTATTTATATTATTATTTTGTTGTATCATTGGGTTCTCTGCACTGGGACTGTTGCCTAGCCCCTCTTTTCTCTTGTTCCCTCAGATTAGGGCTTTTGGGAGACGTTGCTGAGCACCTTTTCAACAGTGTGGTCCTGCTCAGCCTGAGATCCAGCTGCGCAGAAGATGTTCTTTCTCAGATGCTCCAACCTCTGATCTGGAGAGGATTCTGGTGCTGGTCAGAAAGGATGCAGAAAACCCTGTAGCCAGGTGAAGGAAAAACATAAGCTGTACAGGCAGGGAAGAAGTAGGAAAGGTTTAAGTGGTTCTTTCCTAAAAGTTATGTTCTTGTGGGTGGGATAAAATTGATTTTTGAAGTATCTGTTTACAACTGGATGAATTACATAAGCATCCATTATGTAATTGAATAATAGCATAATCTTCCATAATGACAGGCAGAAGCCTTCTAATGTTTGGGACAGGACTTATTTCCTTCTTACTTGGATATCTTTCAGATCCATTGTTATGCAGTTCTTTACATGATGTTTTCTTTCTTCCCTCTTTGAAATTCATCCATGTTAACTGGCTGTATTTACTCTATTATTATGCTTCCTTGAACATGTCTTTTCTTTATTACTTATGTCTTGATAGCATTCCAAGCACACTGAGCTGTGATGCTCTTTTATCTCGCTGTTACTGCAAGTTTGAGCCTCTGCATCCAGATCTTGTAACTCTCCACCTGTTAGAGCTCACTCCAAATGCAGGATGAAACCATCTCCATGCAAGGTGAAACAAAGGTCTCTGAAGGACGGAAGAGCTTTAGCGAGGCTGGCTACAGGCTGACCAGGGATTCTTCCCATCACTGAAAAGGATGGGAAAGGCAACTTGCATGAGTAAGCACTTGTGAGTTCAATTCCTCAGTCAAGTATCCATTGGCTGCTGAGTACACTTTGTTGTAAAGCTGATTATATTTCTCTTTTAAACATGCTGTTGATGGAAATTTTTTCTGAGATGGTATTTTTTTTTCTTTTCTATTTTTTCCCCCTTGGCATGGTAGCATAATGTCCAGATTACAAATAATAATTTCAGAAAAACCCCAACAAACTATCTTTCACTGAACTAGTAATACGTTAACACTGCTGGCTTTTTTCATCTTTCTTTCAAACCCTGGCACACAGAGCTCATCTGTAGAAGGGCACTCTTGAGGGTGGATTTATAGGGGCATGCATCTCTTTTCAAAATTATGAAAAACATCTCATTTTATGAAAAACCCACAAATCCCTCAGGATCCACAGAGGCTTTCATTTCAAAACTGAACTGCTTCTGTCCACTTTCCTTGGAAAATCTTCAAGGAGCCTCCAGATTTTTAGTGCTGATATTTGCAATCTCCAGTAAAAGAAAATGCCCCTCCCTTTATTTTTCTTTAACACTGAATTATATACATATTTGAATATTCACATTTTGGTGAATTGCTGACCACAATGACTTTTCTGTGCCCTGGAAGAAATGATGAGCCTTTTTTTTCCCCCAGCTTCTGGTTCACAGAGCTGAGTAAAACATTTTCTCACAGCATTTGTTAATAACATAAGCAGGTTTATTCCACGTTTGGGGATTTGTTTAGCCATGGGCTAAATTAGATTGGCCACATGTGGTGTTCAGAGTGCCACAGTGGGGTCCCTGTAACACCCTCCATGAGTAGCAGTGTTGCACTGCTGAAAAATGGGGGAGAGGGATGAGGGATGGTTTAGAAGAGCCAATAATTTCCCAGTTTATCTGGGTTTCTGGTGGCTGTGGTGGTTGTTGTTGTTGTTGTTGTTGTTTTGAGTTGCATGTACTACGTTTGAAGAGAAAGCCAGGACTGGTTGGAGCCTTAATAAGAAATAAAAAAATTGGAGGTGAAAGGGCTCACTGATAAAAGAGCTGCTTTCATTTACTGCTCCAGGCATCTGCTGTAAAGGAGCCAAAGCGAATGTGCAAGCATCAGAGACAGTCGCAGGAGGGAGGAGGCAACAGTCAGAGCTGTGAGTAACTGTACATAAACATAATTTAAATCAAAACAGCTGAATAACAATTTAGGACATAAAAGGAAAGAGAAAAGGTGGAATGAAGTAAAGAAAAACAAACCCCACAAATCGACCACAGTCAAACGAGAGAGGAACACAGAGGAGCAGCAAATGGAAGACGAAAAATCAAGCAAAGCCATCGGGGTCCAGTGGTTCATTCCTGTGGTACCCTGCGGTTCCCAGCTCAATTACTCAATAAGGTCTTGTGCTTTCCAGGCCAAGAGGAGCCCTGAAGTACCAAATCTCTCCTTCAGGCTTCTTCTCTTCAAACACAAGGCTCTTCTCAGCTCATCTTCCCTGTACTCGCCTCTTTGTGCTGCTTTCTGTGCCAGCTCCCAGGCCCTCTGCTCTGCCAGTGATGGGCTGTGCTCACTCCTGCTGCTGCCACCATTCCCTCTTGCCTGGAGCCACTTACACCCTCTCCACACAAGTTCTCCTTTCCTCCAACACGGTTCCCTTAAATATTGCTTGCTGCTGCTCAGCCCCTGCTGGTGTCACTCAGTCTCAGTGCTTCATCCCTTGTCATCTCACCATCTCAGGTCATTCCTGCTGCTCTTTCCATGCTCACACAGCTCCTTTTATAAATGGGTTTGCATCCACAATTCGAGTTCCTAAGTCCTAACACAACAGCTGTTGCTGCTTTACACCCTCCAAGGCCTTTGTGCCTTCTGTCTTTTCTCAGTCCCATCCAGTGTCACTGCCTGGTGCTCAAACAAATAAATAGAAATTTAGATTTTTTAATCCTATTAAATAATTTGCCTTGATGGTACCATGTGGCAATGAGTGTCACTGATGACTCAGTTTGAAATGTGTTTTCCTGACATTCTTATTAAGTGGGAAGAGCAAGCAGGACACTGCCAGGTTGATGTGGTTGATGAAGAATGCTGTTGATGGGTTCACAAAGACTAATTGCCCATTCCTTCAAATCCAAGAGACATAGTTGTGATGGGACAAAGACCCATCTTTGTTCGGTGGCTGGAGAAGAATGGCAAGAGCAGAAGGAAACAGCAGGAGAAGAGTGTCTCAAGCAGAGGCTGTTACCCCATACTCCTGAGGATGTTATTCAAGGCTCTGCAGCAGACCTTTCGCGAAATATCTCCCTGACCCCAGTGCAGAAGCCTCCTTTGTGCCTGGAAGAATGAGGGCTTAAACCCTTTCCAAAATATTTGGGGTTTTGCTTTCTCATTAGTGCAAGCTTAGCTTTGCTTGTGTCTTGGGAATATTTCATTTCTCAGGTTTATGATATCAGAAAAAGCAAAGAAACAAAAAATCCTCTCTCCTTTATGAGAGGCACAGTACTAGATCCCTCCCTGATCTATATGTCCAATTAGTCCATAAAAGTTACTCTCTGCTAATTTGATATCCCATTTTCCAGCTTTACCAACATCTGAGCCATCTGATGTGTTTGTGAATGTATAGTGGGATGAGGATGTGTGACAATATTTTTTCCACGGCAGAAATGTGTATATTTTTTCATGCATACATAATTAAAAATGGTTGAAAGCGACTTTGATTAAGCTTTGTCAAAATTCAAACTAATGTTAATCATATTTCAGGAGACATCATGCAATAATATTTTCAGCCACAAAAAGAAGACTGCCTAGGGAAAGCCACCACATTAGGAAAAAGTAAATCCCAAAAAAGAAATACCAGCTTGTGACCGGAAATATTTTGCTTTCTTTTCTTTAGGCTATACTAACAAGTGACCACTGTCAAACAGTTACTAGGATAAAAAATGCATATATAATACTAGCAAGGCTAGGGAGAAATGAGGAATCATAGAAAAGGGAGATGAATATTGTTTCATCTCAGAATTGAAACGAGTAGAGGCCAAAACCAGCAGGGTGGGGAGTCTGTTCCAGATGGCAGGAGCTGCAGAAGCCATTCCACCAACAGTAGCCAGCTTGTAGGGAGAGGCAGAGAGAAATTACTGGGTTGCCAACAAAGCACCAGGTAATGCAAGAGTGGCACTAACCAGTGCCAAAGCTCTGATGGATGCTTCCTTAAAGGGGTGCTCCTGCAGAAATTGGGAGGGTCACTGTGACTCAGAACCATGCAAGGTGGGGGAGGCAAGGGGATTTTTTCCTTAGAGGCAGCACTGAGTCATAAAGCCTTTGCTTTTTCCTCTTTTTCCCTTTTTTTTTTTTCGTTTCTATTAAGTGAAAATGCTCTCTTTCCAGAAGATTTTGAAGAGGACATTCTGGAGATACATTTCACAGAGCCAGCAGAAGGCAGTCCCAGGCCAGCTGGGATCCTCAGGAAGATCCCCCTGGATGAGCTCCCAGCAGCCTCCCAGTCCTGCTGGCAGCTGTAGGACACCATGGTCCTGCCTGCAGACCAACAGGACTGAAGGAAAACCATCTACCCCAACAATACACTGAGCAGGAGTCACTGACAGTACCTACAAGTAACTGGATAAAAACTGTAAATGAAATTGGAAGTAATTTTTGCGAACTATGAAGAAATTGCTTTGGGTGAGTATATGCCCTCTTGTACCCTCGGTTGTTTTATAGAAGATACCAAATATAATAAGGAAACTCCCACACACCACACTGGCTTCAACCACATGGAGAGCAACTCCTCATGGCCCCTGATGCAGGGGTTAAGAAATTTACCAAAAATAAGGTTTTGCAATGGGAAAAGTGGGTGCATACTCCCAGACAAATCCTGCAAGCACTCTTGGCTGCTCAGACTAAACCCAGCCTGGCTTTTATTGAGATGGTCATCAACCACAGCGTGAGGGTAAGGCTGATGCAGGGAGACCTTTCTCAAAATTTGCCTCATGTTGAGGACCCAGTTGGTCTTAATATTCTTTTCTAAGATTGAATTGGGATAAGATTTGTGCTCAGAGTTGGTAATCCAAGTCACAGCTTGGGGATTTCAAGTGCAAGATGTCAAAATCTCTTGTGTTCAGAAAGTTCCTTGCCAGTGCTTTGCCATGTTTCTGTCTCAGAAACCAGTTTGAATTTTGGAACCATCCAGTTAAGTCATTTGGGATCTGGTGATTTGACTTTGACTGTAAACACTAATTTTTAAAGATGCCAGACCTAACAGTTGGTTTAAAAACTGAACAATAAACATGCTTATTAACTTGCCACACAAGATACACACATTGAATCTGCATTGCTTATTTGGCAGCATCATGAACACTACCCTCAAACTGATTTGATGACTGTTTAGAATAGTAACTGATCCTGCTGAGAAAAATCTAACTGTTAGGGCTAAAAGTTTCTTACTGTTCACATTCCTTCTTGAAATTCTATTCAGCTTTTGGTCTAAATTTTTCATGGAAAAACCCACTAAATTAAAAATGCATTTTGGAGTGATGCCAACACCTTACAAAGTTATGCTTGGAGTTTTTTTCCCTGTTAATTTTTTTATTTTTAATCTAAAAATTGTTCTTGTTTTTAATTACAATCTCAAACCACCTGATCAAAAATGTAAGTTTTCTCCAACTCACACAGCAATAAACCATTCAAGATTAATATATTCAACTAATTGGTCAACTGAAAGCGTAAATTGACTTGATGGTCAACAGGAAGAACTAGAACAAAGGTTCAAAATGTTCAATGAGCTGAAAAATCTGTTTTGTACCAGTTCTGTTGATCAACCTTTAAAACCAGTCTCACCCCATTGAATTGAATAATACAGTGTCTCCTTTAAAGGCCAGCAGTTTTCCAAGCAGATTTTTTGCATGTCACCCCCAATTTAGAAAGCAAGCTGACATGGAGCTGACACCAATTTTTGACCAAGGCATTTACAGGGAAGGAGCAGAAACCTTGCTCCTCTAGATCACGCACATTTTGAAGGCCATAATGTGTTTTTCAATAGCACTGTTGAGTTTAGTGCTGCCATCTCGGGGAAATCGGAGATGAACGATGTTATTTAAAAAAATATTAGAAACAGCAAACACAATTTTTTTGGCAAAATGTGACAATAAACATAAAAAGTCAAAAGATAAATCAGAGCTGATGAAGGGACCTCCAAGAATTTACAAGCTTTTCTATTTGCCATTAACCTCCTCAGCTCTGACTTCTTTTGCCAAAAATTATTCTTTGCTGATTTATTTTTTTACTGTTGTGGGCAGGAGGTCTATAAAGTGATGCCTACAAGTCCTGGTAGAAAATCTTACATTCTGTAGGTATTTTTAGGTTTGTGTATAAAATCTGTGGTGTCCACCCTGGCAAACACACACCCCTGAAACCCACAGGTGATGCCACTGGACTTCTAATCACTGAATGAGGGACAAATCTTTGAAGAGAAATAGAACTGGTGACACATTGAAAAGAGCTTCTAAGCAGAGTCCTGCACACAGGTTCTGGGTGCATTTGCTCCTCTTTCTTTAGTCATTGACTGTACGGCAGTGTTTCAAAGTAACTGAAAGAAATATTTATCCTTCCTGTAGCCCCAAAATGAACCAAAAAAAAAAAAAAATTAAATCTCATGAGGAAGCAATTTCAGGCTGGGGAAAAAGAATTAATTCCTTTTTGGTTGTTATTGTTGCTTTTCATTCTCTCATAAAGGAAATTTAATTTCAATTTCCAAATTGCATTTTCTTTCAAAATGAAATATCCAAGCATTTATTTCTGAAATGTCAGAGGGAAATGCATTAAAACTTCATTTATAAGGTGGATTAGGATGGTGTGTTGAACTTAAACTTGGTCCACAAGTACCTTTGGTTGACTTGGAGAGGGGTTATTTTCATCCTGTTACACAGAGAGCTCCTCCTGGGGCTGCTCCAGTGTGGAGATGCTGAAATGTCAGGGTGTCTCAGCTGACACCCGGTGCCATCTCCCACACTTGTGACTGATGGCGCTTGCCAGCTGTCAGGGGCAAACCCATCCAGTGGCAAGCAGTGGGCAGGCAGTTCTGGGGCTGTGGCAGCCCCAGAGTGTTCCCTTGAGTCACCAACTGCAGCACCTGCTGTGATGTTCCCCTCCTGGCCCCTGATGTCCCTCCTAGCCCACAGTGTCCCCCCTCGGTTCTCCTTCACCCCTGATGCTGCTGACAACATCCTGCTAGGCGCCACGAGCTCCAGTTTTACAGGACAGGGATGATGCCAGGGCAGAACAAGATCCCTCCATCTGCTGAATTGTCCCCTCCTCTTCCTCCTGCACCACAGCTCTCCTCACCTGCTCGTGGGTGACTTTTGTGAGTGGGCTTCTGACATTTGTCCCGTGCAAAACATGAGCAGGACTGCCCAAGAAGGACAGATTTTGCCCTGGCCAACCCTTCCAGGATGAAGCTTGAGGCAAAGAGGTGCCTCTCTCTACCTGTCAGCCTACACCCCTGCCACACACTTTTTACTGTTGACTCTTCTATTTTTTGTCATGCTCTCTGCTTGTTGTCTGAGATGAGATGAAAGATTTTTAATAGTGATGGCATACAGCTCTAGAGACAAAAGGGTCTATTTCTTTCTTATCTTGGATGTGTTAAAAACACTCTACCTTCATCCCGCTACGTTCAAAAGGAGACAAAAGTGAAACGAAGCGAACAATTTTTCAGCACCATTAATAAAACAACCCCAAATGATATAAAATAGCCTTGTTTCACATGACAAACACCGTACCCACGAGCTTTGGCTTCTCTCATGAAGAGAGAGAGAGAAAACCTTCAGAACTTTTTCTGGGCTCTCAAACTTCCAGCGCGGTTCGTAGGGGCTGTAATTTAGCCCCAGGCATTTGAGAATCTACTTTGTGTGTTTTGGCAATGACATGAAAATGCAGAGAGAACTGTACATCTTGCAGTTGTACGCTGAGCTGGGCGATCTGAGGGGCCTGTCTATAATAGAGGAATCATCTTTTCTTCAATGAAGTGCTACTATTGTTGTGATCTTCAATAAAGGATATAATGGATGCATTCATGTGGTGGCTGTTGTTTGTGTGTGATTCTTTCAGCGCACGGCTAAGCGCACAAGAGTCCTTTAAACTCTTCTCTACTCACATCCAGTAGAGCTAGCATTTTGTGCCAAACTAGGTTGGTTTTCCCCCTGCAAGCTTCTTTTCCTATTATTTTTGGATAAAGCCAATTGACCATGAAATGCCTCTTTATTGCAAAATGATATCCCCAAGCCCTCACTGTGGGATCATGGGTTAAAATGCCGGTGTAATGAGCATTTGCATGGAGGTGTTGTTGGTTTAAATATTTACCTTTAAAATTAGTCACTTTGGCCCATTGTAGGCATGTTAAGAAAGTGATATTCTTCAGGGGTCAGAAGTGATATGTGAGGCTGCATCTCCTTCTGGGTACTATAATGGCATCAATTGCTTGTTTTCATCTAAGTCCAAACTGAAGTTACATCTTTCATGTGGATAAACATCATTCTCAGGCCTTCATAAGGTGACCTGAATAAAGTAATTTCCTTCTGTTTGATTACAGCATAGGACAGAGAAGAGATTTTCAAAGACAAAAGGAGAAGGTTGTGCTTGGAAAGGCAGAAATTTGCATTAACCCACAAAGTAATGGCACGAGCAAAAAATATTTTAGCATGCAATGTGCATGTGTGTTTAACATATCATAGATGCAATAATTAACGTGTGGCCTCTGAAGGAGGGAAGGGTGCTGAGCAAGGCTGCAGACAACAGCTGGAAGTGCACAGGATGGGCCATGAGAGGATGCTCATTTTTCAACTGTACAACAACAACAACAGCAACACTTTTAGAAAAAGGGTAGGGGAGGAAATGTTACCTTGAATCTGCTCTAAAGAACTTACTTCAATCAATAGTCCTACATTTAAATAAGTTTAGATGTAATTATCCGTTACAAATCTGGTTTTCTGCCTTGTTAGTCAGAGATCCTAGGCACTTTTATTTAAAATTTGTACTAATCTCAACCTCATTTAACTATACAATGTGAACAGTTTAGGGAAAGAGGGAGAAAAAAAAGAAAAACATTAAAACCTTCCAACATATTTTCTTTTTAGGCAAGTTGAAAAGGAGCACCTAGCAAGGTTTTTTCTCAAGTCACTTTTTAAAGATTGTTATTATCTTTTCATATTAAAGTTAACATTACCATATGCTGTTGAGCTTTTGTTGATGGCAGTGCTTAAACTGGGATGTTGTTTCCTTTGGAGATTCTTACTGCCAGTCATTAATTTACATTTTTTTGAAATCGTACAGCGAGTGCTTTGTTGATGCCTGTTTTCATTTTGTTTCTCTCTCTTTTCAGGTCACACATGAGGAGTTTTTTCAAACAGTAAGTCAAGATGATGGAATGAAATCAGTGACATCTGCCACTCATGCTCTCTTCCTCCATCCTGTTTGCCCATAGCCCCCCTTTTCTCCTTTTCTTTTTGTAATGCTCATGGTTTTCATCCCATTCAAAGGCCACCCCCAATTCTGCCCCCCACCCTCCAGTTTCTCCCATAATTACTCTGGGGAATGCATTTGAAGCTGAATCTCTTTCTCTCCTTCATTCTTTGGCCTTTTGTAGCTGTTGGTTTGGGGATGTCTTAATGTTCCCACTTGAACTGAGATATCTCCCTTCATAAACTTCAGTCATGTCCATTTTTATTTTGTCTCTGAGGAAATCAAACAACATGTCATGGAAATGAAGTGCCCAGCACTTAACATGATCCCATGCTGATTGTTACAGGCTTCTAGGAATTGTCCTCCTCTCTGCTTTTGGTCCCCTATTGTGGTTGACCATCTCCATACCAATCTAAATAAATGAAATCTAATTAAAAAGAAAAAGGACACAACTGCCTCCCAACTCCCTCTTTAAAAGCTGAATGAATAACATCGAATCATCTCCAGTAGGAAATTTATGAGGCTGAGAGTTAGGGTCCTGATCCTGAACTCTTTACTCATACACTAATCCTCACACATTTGATTTATCCTTTCAGCTTTGGTTCACACAATGAGTCATAAAAATAAGTGATGTAGGATTGGGCCCTTCAGAATCTTGAAATGATGCAGTTTTCCAAAGCGTTTTCTTTCATTAATGTGATTTTAACTACTGGCTATTCAGGCAGAAAAAATATACTCAGAACAGAGATTTTTTTTAATCCTTACTGCATCACGTAAAGAAGGTAGTAACTTGTCAGAGAAGGATTTGATCCAAAGAGCATACAGGTATGCATGTTAGATTTCTTCAGTAATAGATGTGTCTCTCCTCTGTGTCAGATTAGGACCATTGCCAAATGGGATCATCCTATTGTGTTACAGCATGGGTGCTCCCTATTAGAGTGCTCTCAAGTATCTATTTAGGACAAGCTGCTTAAAAAAAAGTAAAAGAGAAAAAAGAAAGCAGAAAAAAGCAAAAGGGAAAGAAGAAAAGGAAAGAGAGGAAAGAGAAGGAAAAGAGGAAAAAGAGGAAAAAAGAAAAAGAAAGAAAAAGAGAAAGAAAAACAGGAAAAAGAAAAATAGAAGAAAATGAAAAAGAAGAAAAAGGA